CTGGATTTCTAGATTGGGATTATAGATTTAGTGCTCACAGACATTTGGTGTAGTTTGGCCCCTTCTAAAAACATAATTTTCTCTTGCCAACTCCTTCAGGATCAAATCTCAACCAGGGTTAACTTACTTAAAAGGGGTGTTCTTCTGACCTCTGGTACTTTTACCTGCTTCTTCTGTTCCTTGCACATTAATTCTACCTCTCACATATTTGTGACTTGTGACATTATGTCTTCTGTTTGGTATATGATTTTTAGGTGGTTAGTGTGGTGTGCTACTTTTCCTGGTCATGTTTTGACTCTTTTTCAGAAATTTAGTTCCTCACATGGTGTTGTTAGAACTAGAGGGCGGTTGATGATGGTTTTGCATGTCATAGTCTGGTCTATTTGGAAATCCCATAATGATATAGTTTTTTTTGGATCTTCACTAAAGAAGTGGAAGATAAGTGCATCGTCTTAGCTTGAAAATGGTATCTTGGTAAGTTAGTGGACAACTCTTGTGTCTTCTCGGCCTGGCTGGAGATCCCTATCATGTTTCTAAATCAATAGGGGTGAATGGTTTCGACCTCCTTTGGTTGTGTTCTTGCTGGCTCCTTTTGTGGCTTTGGTGGTTTCATAGGTGTTCCTTTTTTGGTATGCTTTAGCCCCGTGATTTTGATGGATATTTTGTTTGTTGGTGTTTCTCGCAGTTGTTCTCCTTAGTTGTTGGTGTTTGCTGTTACCTAGAAGTTAGCCATTAAACTTCAAATCCTTGTATAATAAAGTTTATGGGCATATCTCATCAAAGACTCTCAAGATAGTGGATACTCTAAAAAATAATTCATGGGGACAAGATTATTCCAAGTAGGCCGAACATTTATAAATCTCCAGTGTCTTTTTCTTTTCTTACCTGCTTTACTTTATTTTCCTTTCCTCTATTTTCCATCTATTTCCTTTTTCTGTTGCATATTTACTTGTTTGTTTTACAAATCTTTTCAAATTCTAAACTTACAAAAGATTTTATTTTCAACAAATGTTTTTCAAACCTCCGCAACTCACCTCCTCTCTCGTGTGTTTAGGCTCGTTAAATTTTTTTTGGGTTTCAGCAGTTATAAATATGCATCTCTACCACTCTTATCTTTAGAACCTTCAAAATTGAAGACAAAATATAAGAGTTAGAAATCATAGGGGAAACTTAGAGAGAAAGGGTAGAAATTATTATGATCGTATCCTTGGAATATATGATATCGTTGGAGGTATATCTAAGGGGATTAACAAAAACTTCTACGCGTCTGGAGCTTCTGCGATCCATATAGAGAGAGTTGAAGAGACTGAGAAACAATTGGATAAAAAAAATATGGTTTGCTCTTGAAAACTTGAATGACTATTTTCTTGTAACTACTTTGTAATCTCTTGTAACAAATCTTAGAAGTATAATGAATCAGAAATATAGTCTCTCCCATAGAGTATAATAGTTTGATTGAACTGGGTACGTAACCAAGTTCTTTGTTCTCGTCTTTTATCTTCCTCTTAATTATTGAAAACTTGTTTACATTAATTATAATTTATTTTGAGTGATTGAGGCCATTTATTATGATTGTCATTTTTATTTATCTCACACATATTTAATCTTGACAAATTTAATATTAAAGTTAAATTCAACAAAAGTTTGACGTATTTAAGCTTATCAACAAATTCACTACCATTGTTAGATTTTTCACAACATTATAACTCCAAGAGATCAATACTAGTAAATACAGAAATACGTTAAAAAATTTATAAAACTAATAACAAATCAATTCTAAAAAATCAAGACATGTTACATTGTGGAGGCCGGTGAAAACCAAAAGTTATTTTGTAAAACTAAATAATAAATAGTAATTTAATCTAATAATGGACATGTGAAAATGGGGTGAATTGTTCTTATATCCATTTACTTCATTTTCGCTTTTTATTCATTCTCCATATATTTTCTATCTAAGTCCTTATTTTCCTTGAAATCAAAAAAGAACTTTATTCCACCGACTCTTCCTTATAACAATATAAATTACATCATTTGTAATTCCATAACATCAGTAAAAAAATTAGATATGTGATTCTTTCTTTGCCTATATTTTAAATTATTATTTTAAATTATATATTCCGTGTTTTTTCTATTAGTTTATAAATTTGAGTATTTTGTTGAGTGCTAGAGTGTAAAAGTTAACAGAGATTTCAAAAAGAGAAAAATCATACTCTAAAACTTGAGATTTCATTCCATCATACAATTATTGAAAAATTATTTAACAACATAAACAAAATCTTTACATCGATGGTGTATAGAGTTAAATTTGATTGACTGTTTGTTACAATTTCTATAATCTTAGTTATAAAATAATAATAATTTCTTATAGAAGTAAAATTAATATTTTGACTGATATATAATATAACGTGAGATTTTGATGGGAAAAAAAACGGTTGAAATGGAGAAAATATAAAATAATATATTTTTAAAAATATTTTTATTTTCATCGTTTCTCAATTTTTTTATACAACTATTGACTTCAACTAACCAACATTTTTATGTCATATATTTAATTTTAAAATACAATTACAAAAATTCAATGATATGATAAAATAATTAGTTTCACTATACGTTACTGCATAAGACACTGAGGGGATTTGATTCCTTTGGTCGGATGGATAAAGTGTCTTCAATAACACCCATGGAATCTGGAGTCGCGTGTCAACTGCATGGTTGTATCCCAATTTGTTGTTAACTGCATTCGTGTTTGCTGTTAATCAATGATTTACAAATGCATTAATTAAACCTTGCGGTTGGCCGCAAGGGTATACTAATTGATCTCTTTCAAATGTGTTATCTGGGTGTTTTGATGGTCGAATTATTTGAAGGACTAGATACTCGACTTGGGAGATGCCCGACCTCTAATGGATGCGTTCAACTCTGCCTCCCAGAGTTTGGATTGCACCGACATCTTAGACTCTAAGATTCTGAGTGACCCTGTTGTATCGAGAGGATCCAGACCCTTTGTAATACAGATCTTCGTCGACCGCTCCATTTTGAAACCTCGCAGACATGGACCATGTACTTCATCTTGCCATGTGACTTGGGAAGGTTGGTCTTATTGTCGTGAAATAACCGACTGATGGTGTCGGGCGGGTTTCATTTATGACCTAACACCCTTCCATATTTAGAAGTTGTTTCTAAGGCCATGTGTCGTGCCTTTTCTTGTGAAAATGGCTGGCCTGTTTCCTAAATGTGGACGTTTTGAAGCTTAGGCCTTTTATTCTTCTTATTGGTCTCATACAAAGAACGAGGTATGGTCCCTTGTATTACACGATTTCATGCACCAGCCACTGGCCAACTCCATAACCTTATTCGGTGTGGTTGTAATATGGACAACAAGGGATATTTATGATGGTGAGACGTCTAGCGAGGATAATCTGCTTGGTTGTTCCTCTTGGGTGTTGTTTCTACCATTACTGCCTAGATTTGAGCCGATATTAAATCTAATTGGTTGGAGCCCGAGGGTCATGGGTCTAGATCTGTAGACATCTGCGGGCATTTTCCAATGGTGGTTCGAGATTGGGATGAATGATTGTTTGGAGCTATATTGGATTTTGACGATTCCAATCGGTGTAGATCTGAGATTTTGGCTTCTTAAGACTTTGATTTCTTCACCTTAGACGCTTTGAATTTCAAATTTGAAAATCAAATGCGAAATCATAAAAATCGTATGAGTCGAAAGTCGTTTCCCATAGAAAACGCCACTGTTACGTTGCGGAATCAAAAATGAAGGAAATCACGGAAGCTATGATGGAACGAAGCTTCGTTGGTGAATCCGGGATACGCGTTGTGATATGACATTTTAGATGCGGTACTTGAATAGTTAGCACTTCAACACTCAAGTCAGTTTAAGGTTTGATATAACTGTAATGAGAGTGGAGTTTAGAGATTGTGTACCTAAAAATCATTTGTGAAGGTATTTATACCATGGGCTCTATGGAACAAGTGGAATAATTGGGCCTCATGTTATTAGACCTTTGCCTGACACGAAGCAGTGGGTCTATAGACCTTTGGCCAGCACGGAACAAAGTTAATGATAATATGACTTATGTGTGAGTTATAAGGCAATATGTAGTGATTAAAGTTAAGCCCTTAGTAAAAGTGAGAAGGTTAAGAGACAACAAAAAAATCTCGGTAGGATAAGACACGATTTCGTACATCCCTTGCAAAAAAGTGGACTTTAATCCCGTAGACCAAAATAATGTACATTTTAGTCTTTTCTCATAAAACATCTCACTCATTTAACACTGATGTCTGAGAGATTCTATACATTTTACCCTCTCTTCATAAAGCATATATCTCATTTGGGGTTAATGTTTGAGAAAGTGTCTACATTTCAATCTCTCTATCTAAAGCATCTCATCTATTTGAGCCTCATGTTTGAAGAACTGTGTGCATTCCGATCTTTTTTCATAAAAACACGTCACCCTTTTGAATCTCATACTTGAGAAACAGTGTACATATCCATAAATTTAGGATCAATAAAAATTATTTTAAAAATATATTTAAATAGATAAATTATTCTTATAAATTAACAAGTTTTATGTTTTCCTCCCAGACATATTTTTAGATTATCCCTAAATGTTAAAATTCTTTTAATATTCATCATTAAAATTAAAATTCGAAGTATAAGTGTGGATTTTAACTTTAATTATTTTACGAGATGATTTAACGATTTAAACATTAAATATATATATATATATATATATATATATATATATATATATATATATATATATATATATATATATATATATATATATATATATATATATATATATATATATTCAAACACATGATGTGTCTTTAGGCACATGTTGCTTTTAAGAAAATATATGAAACTATGATATTTATTTATTTTGGGTGATTCAGTTTCAACGAGTTCCTCCGATATTTAGTTTTTCCGGTGACACAAAAAATAAAAGGCTTAAAAAATTTTCAGCTCCAAACATTTTGCGATGGCTCTACTCTCCTCCACGCTACGCGCTCCACTCGTCTTCTCCAAAAACCCTAAACCCGTCTCTCTCTCTTCCCTTCACTCTCGAATCTATCTCTCTCCTCGCTCTCCCAGGTTCCCTTCCCTTCGCTTCATCTCCGCCACCGGCGATACCGGAGACGCCGATAAGCCATCTTCCAATATCTCCGACGAGTGGGGCGAGGGGTCTGAGCCCGAAACCAAACCGTTCACGTATTTCAAGCTTCCAGATTCGGATCCTCCCAAGGACGAGGATGAATGGGGTAAAGGAGCGGGAGCTGGCGCCGGAAGCTATAACGACGCCGGGAATGGAACTCCGACTTTCACTGCAGAAGCTCCGTCGGAGGAGGAGGCGGAGGATGGAGTGGATGAAAATCTTGAGGGGCTGAAGCGTTCTCTTGTTGACACTGTGTTCGGGACTGAGCTTGGGTTCCGAGCTCGGTCAGAGGTCCGAGCTGAGGTGTCCGAGTTTGTGGCTCAATTGGAAGCTGCTAACCCCACCCCCGCTCCGGTTGAGGAACCTGACCTTCTCAATGGGAATTGGGTGCTGCTGTAAGTTTTAATCCTTTTGCAAGTTTTGAGTTTATGTGGTTAATATTAATCCTAGTATTACAATTATAATAATAATAGTTTAAACGTAAGAGGATTTTGCATAGAAATGAAGGTGTTATTGGCAGTGATGTGACTAACTCGAAATGTGTTGTATTAGTCAGTCTTGATAGAAGTACTTATTGTTTCTATGATTTTCAAACTGAATTCAGGTACACAGCATCTTCTGAACTGTTGCCACTTTTAGCAGCAGGATCATTGCCTTTGTTGAAGTTGGATAAGATTTCGCAAACAATTGATGCTGATAGCTTCACTGTTGTAAACTCTACAACATTGTCTAGCCCTTTTGCCTCGTTTTCTTTTAGTGTATCGGCCTCATTTGAAGTTCGAAGCCCTTCAAGAATACAGGTAATCTCATGAAAACCTTTGCGTTTTGCTTAATAAGTATAAAAAAAGTTCATACCTCGTAGGTGAAAGGCAGCGCGGGTAACATGTCTAACTACAAGAACAATCAAAGCCTTTAAATAGTAGCAGTCACCATCCTTCTTGATATTGCAGAGAATTGCACTAAAGTATGGCTGATGCATATCCAATCGATGTTGTGATTGAGTAGACACAAAGTGTCATAATGTTGCGGCTGCACTTGCAGTTGTGTATTGGTTTTTGAAACGACTCTAGATGAGATCGGTTATATGGAACAAATCAAGCCTTAATGTCATATCACGAATCATGTCTAAGAAAATATTTGCCTAAATTTTATTGGTTTTTCCATATAAATTAACCACTCACACCATCAAGCATTGGCACTTCTTGCTAAAAAAAAAAAATTAATTTACAAAACCGTAGTTGGTTTCTCCCAAGAGTTGTTAAGACTCTCAGTTAGTATTTTCCCTTTAGCTTCAGACTTAGCAGTAAGATGGCTGGGCTCTGGGTTTTTGTTATTATTATTAATACGTTGTTATAACCCTACCTCACCTGAACCCGAAATACATGCATATTGGTTTCATCTTACCAAAAGGCAACAACTCAATCAGCAAGAGGTGCTGCTGCCCTTCTGACACACTACCTTAGTTCTGCCTTTGGGCATCTTTGACCACAAAAGAAATAGAAATGAGAAGCTAAAGAATAGTTTGTATAGCCATAAACAACCATCTCTTAATTTATCTGGGAACTCTTGAGTTCTTACCGTCGTTTCTTTCATAAACTCTTCTGACCGTATTTGAAAACTAATGATGGCAATGTAATAAAGAATATGTGTGCTATACTGTGTGTATTGTATTTGCTGAACTTCATAGTATTATATTTGTACTTGAGTAGTTAAATAGTTGTCGATACTTCCCGTTGCTTTGTATTTGTTCTTTAGTTAATAGATAGTTGCTGCTAGATTTGTCTATTACATACTATGTAGCACTGACACTTCACATCAAAAGCGTGTTCGGTGTTTCACATGCTTCAGTGTCAGACACTTGACATTGACACAACACTCAGACAAACATTTAAATTATTACCGGTATCGATGTGTCAGTGTCGGTGTTGGTCTCTATATCAACGCTTCATAAGTTGCATAAAATCACATATATTGCTTTAAGTATGCTATCCTTTGTTATAAGTTAATCATTAGTTTCTTCAGCGTGCTTAGAACTTTTAGATTGCATATAACCAGAAACTCTTGCTAACATTTCTAAATGAAAGCAGGTTACATTCAAAGAAGGATCACTACAACCTCCAGAGATAAAGTCTAAAATTGACCTACCAGAAAACATAAACATTTTTGGCCAACAACTTAGCCTAGGGCCTCTGCTACAGTCTCTCGGCCCCCTGGAGAATGTGGTGGAAAACATATCACGTGTCATTTCAGGTCAGTCACCTCTTAAGATTCCCATACCTGGTGAGAGGACAAGCTCCTGGCTTATTACCACATATCTTGATAAGGACCTGCGGATATCAAGGGGAGATGGTGGTTTGTTTGTTCTTGCAAGAGAAGGGAGTTCCCTTCTTGATCAGTAAGAAAATAATAATCTTTTCATTTTGATACTCTACCACCCTGTTTCCCTCTGCCCACCCAAAATGTGAAAATTCATATACATTTTTTACGTTCTTGAGATGTTATATGTTGTATATTCAAAGGATACAGAGCTTATGTTGTCGACCTGTAATTCTACTATATATATAAAATGTTGGAACAGTATGTTCCCCTATTAACTTAGGTGAAGTATTGATTTGGGGGGAAGGATGTGAAATCAAATTTATGAAACTACTTTTCATATGATAAATCTGCTTATCTTAGCATATTCCTAAGCAAACTAGGAATGATTGCGGCGGGGCACTTGTATAGTATGAACAAGGTCTTGAATTTAAGCTTTAATGCCTCCATTGTACACCAGAAAAAATCTCAGCATGTTGATTGCTAGATTTAAATCCTAGTAAAAAGGGGCTTCTTGTTTTTGTGTACAAAGGTTCTTTCCTACACCTTTTATGCTGAAATTGGGTTCGGTGTCTGTTGTGCTACACCTGCAGCAGCTATAGTTAGAGAGACAGAGAATGTAATTTCAAATAGAGAAAAACAAGAGAGTGAATCTTCAAAGAGATGGAGGTTGCACAGATATATTGAATGTAGAGAGGATCTAACTATTTATTTCCAGTTTATGTCGGTAATTAAACAAACCAACTCGGAGTTAGTTTGAGACTCAAGTTGATAATCAATTTGTTGAACAAAATTTTGTTCTTGTATGAAATAAAGTTAATTTGAAAGTATTACTACAACAACCTACAAGTCTTATGGAGACAATAAGGAAACATTAAGACCTAAGTCAAACTTTTGCGGGCAAAAAATAACCTCGACTCATGTTAAGCAGTTTTCAAAGGAATTATCATGTCTTGAACTATGTTTGTTCAAATGATTTCTTTTTCTTTCATTTAAACGTTTGGATTTGTGAAATCGGATGGAACAGAGTGGAATGATATTCTATTGTTTGGGCGGAATGAAATGTCGGATCATTATACCAATATTCTAACATAGGAAGTTGAATTTGAAAAAGTTTCATAAGGCAAGTCTCACGTTATGTGTTAGTTAAAAAAAACTCATTAGTCTCTAATTGTTTAGGTGAGATATTTTTTACTCAATTTATTATATAAGGAAGTTCTCTATTTTATTCCAAAACACACAAAAAAAAAACTTTTTTTTGTTGAGTTTTTCCTTTCTCACTCTCATAGCTTTGAGTCTTTCGAATTGTTGAAGCATGAACTTCTCCTCATTTCTTTTTACTCGTTGAATTTTTTGAATATTTTCTTGAATCCTTTTTAGAAAATTATGTTAATTTCTCCTCGTTTGAGTTGAGAAATTATCAAGTATAATTTTTGGATTCTCTTTAGAGAATTATTCAAATTTCTCTTTGTTTGAAAAATCATTTTGAGTGGTCAAATGACCATTATTGAATTCTCTTTGGAGAATTATTGGAATTTTCTCTTGGCTTGAGAAACTATTACGACTGGTCGTTATACCCGATACTATGAATGATATTCATACCATATTCGAATGTTTTTTGTACCATCAAAAGGTGTATTTTTAGACCGATTATGAATCATGCAAGTAGTAATCGTACAATATAAAACTAGACTGTTTTATCCTAGAGGCGGCGCGGTAGTTCGATTGTTTTGCTTAACTTTGGGCAGTGCCGCAAAACGTGAGAGTGATCTAGTCCGCGACTTGACCTGCTAATTTCTTATGTGGTTAATTTTCAAAATCGTGAAACAACAACTTTAAGATGTTTCAAACTGCCATGACTACCGAAGAAATTATTGGTACTTATGTGCTTATTGTTTCTGATAAACCGTTCAAGTTTGAGGGAAGTCACTTTAAATGCTAACAACAAAATTTGTAATTTTCTGAAAAAATATTGTCAACATTCTAACCGATGATATTCATGTTGCTGCCTATGGATCAACCGAAAAATTAACGGTAAGAAATCTATGGACTCAGATGGAACAGTTAATAGTGTTAAAGGTGAATTTGCTGCACAGATTAGAGCGAACGATTTCCAACTCATAAAAGAAATCTCTACAAAATTATATTTTTAATGGACTTACAGTTGATCTGCAATACTGTAAAACAAAAGAATTTTTAATTTAGAGTCTGGTTATTCTCCTTTGAGTTGAAGAAGAATTTAGAGACAAGATCGAAAAAGAAAAGCCTTGGTTGTTTCAAACAACAAAAATAAAGTCGGTGTAGTTTTGGAATCATTTGGCAAATGGTTAAAGAATCAAAACCGCAATGTTGTAAACCGAATTAAGAATGAGAACCCTTCAAGGGTCCCAGTTACTCCAACTGATAGGCAACAATCACCACCATAAAGAAATGACACTGTTTTTTCTCTTGCTTTAATTGTGGAAAGTCAGGTCATATGATTAAGAAATAAAATATCGAGTTTAAACCTTGTGTTTCCTCTAATGCATAAGTTAACCTGATTGATAAGCAATATTTGCTTTGATCACTAAAATCAACATGATTGGTGAATTGATGGTTGGTGGATGAACATTGGCTCTTCTCGTCATGCCTGTTATGATCGTGCAATATTTAAAACATACACGAATAAGAAAGTGTTGTTGTGAGTTGTCCACACCACTAATGTTGTCGGTATTGGAGAAGTGGAATAATGTCCACCTTTAGAGATTATAAAGAATCTTGTTTCTGTTTTTTTTATTTTTAAATAAGGCAGGGTTTAGTTAGTCAATTGGGGTAAATTTGTACATAATCACTAAAAATGATATTTTTGTGAAATGACTATGTCTAAGACTTTTGTTATTGAAATTGAAATTCAATTTAGTAACAAGATTAATTAAGATACTTCGTAGTGATAGGTGAACTAAATATTATTTTAGTTTATTTAATCATTTTTATATTAAATATGGGATTGTACATGAAACGATTGCTCCATATTCTCCTGAAATGAATGATAAAGCAGAAAGAAAGAATAAAACTCTTACTGAACTTGTTGTTGTAATTATGATGAATTTTGGTGTTGCACCTCACTGGTGGCGGGAAATTTTATTGACTGTTTGTTATGTGATGAATAGAGTTTCCAAGTTAAAAAGTAAGATATCACCTTATGAGATATTAAAGAAAAGACAATCAAACTTGTTTTATTTGAGAACTTAGGGTTGTCTGACTTATGTCAAAATTTCGGATCCGAAACGAGTTAAACTAGCTAGTAGAGCCTATGAATGCGTATTCATTGGGTATGCAACAAACATTAAGACATATAGGTTTTATGACCTAAATGCAAGAGTGATCATAGAATCAAATGATGCTAAATTCTATGAAGACAAATTTCCTTTCAAATCGAGAAATAGTGGGGGCACCCAATTGAGTTACATCCTGTTGCACCCTAATTTTTGACCTAAAGATCCCACCTCCTTGTGCATTTTTATTGCACATCATTTAGGTCAATCTTTCGTTTTAACTAACCATTTTAACCCCTTTTGTTTGTTTTGTTTTATGAAGTCAAGATTACTGTGGAAGGTCCGGAAAGCCATGAAGATTTTTGCATAGTTATTCAAGGACTAGTTACAGTACTCGTTGGCTTCATAATTGGAATTGTCACTTAAGTTTAAAGGAAAGGTTTTGGACCTCCTTTATGGTGGTTTGCGTTTATTAAGTTAAAAGCGTCCCAAATGAACTTTTCACTTGATCTTAATTGAAAAGTCACTTTTTTCCTAAAGTGCATTTTCAAAGCTTCAAATCAAGAGTTGAAGTGGATTCTCATTCAATTTCGACATGTTCCAAGTATAATTAAATTGCATTTGGTCCAAAGTTCATAAGTTAATAAATTATTAGCAAGGCAAGTTAGAGTTTAAGACCAAGTTTTATTATTGTGGTGAATCACGTGAAGACTTCAAGGTTCATTTCATCTTCGTATCCAATACCTAGTGAAGAGAAGAGCTCAAACCAGTTATTCCAATTTTGGAATAACGCAACTCATCAAGCAGGTTTTGCAAGAGACATGGATTCTATTCAAGGTGACGCAATCCAAATGATCAAAGGAAATTAATTGCTCACGACAACCTACTTCAACAAAATTAAGTTAATGCAAAGCTTAAATCCTTATATTGAACAATTGGAGTCTTGGTACAACATAGGATCATAAGTTGATTTCCAAACCAACACCATTCAAGGACATATTTATCTATTTACAACTGATGGGATAAGCACTACTCTAGACTTCATTTAACAACATTGGACATGGCAGTATCTTTTACTTTTTGGCTTTCTATTCCCTCCTTGCATATAAGCCTCTCCTTGTTTTGTTTCGCATCCACCAATCGTTGAACCCTTCTCAATCCCGCAATCTACAAGTGCGACGAGCTTCGCCTTGCTAATGTATGTGGTTCGGTTTAGAACGCTACTTGCACCTGAAAAGAAGACAACATAATTGAGTTAACCGCAAGTTTTAACCACCAAAATCACAGTACCAAATAACCAAAGAGCCATTATTTATTTGACCCTCAGAACGTGCCAACATTCATGATGAATTGAAGAAGAAACTCAACACCAATACAACTAGTTCTCAGCAACGAATGCAGCGAAATCAGCAGCAGCAGCAAATTCTTCAGCTTCAAAAGCAGAATCAATTTGCAGCAGCAGCTGTGGCCATTGCTTGCAAGACACCGACCACAAGTAATGGAAGTACCTACTCTGATAATCTCCCATCTACATCTTCAATATCCACCAAGTATCCCAATGTTGTATCTGTATTTCCTCAAAGTCTAGTACAGAGCAGCAACACTGTTGTTACGCAGTCACCTCAGTGGAAGAATTCTGCAAGGGTAACTAACACTTCTCTGTCACCTCAGACTATGGCTTCGCCACCATCATCGTCCATTAAAACCCCCCAACAGCAGCAGTCTCGTTCCCAGCAGGGCCAAACTCAAATTTCTTTTGCAGCAAATCCAAATTCGTCCACACAAGTGCAAACGGTAAGCTCCAACCAGTCTCCATCTCCTCTAGTTAT